TGTGTGTGTGTGTGTGTGTGTGTGTGTGTGTGTGTGTGTGTGTGTGTGTGTGTGTGTGTGTGTGTGTGTGTGTGTGTGTGTGTGTGTGTTCAGATCCTCACTGGAGAGGACTGGAACGAGGTGATGTATAACGGGATCCGCTCTCAGGGAGGAGTGAAGTCCGGCATGTGGTCCTCCATCTACTTCATCGTGCTCACACTGTTTGGAAACTGTATCCTGCCAGCCACATAGACTTTAATGATCTCACATCCACAGAGAAGTTTGTTCTGATCTTAACCCGTAGCATCTGCAGATTTAATCCATGCCTGATATATAGCTTTAAGATGAATTGTGATTTATTTTCTGCCATCTTGACTGTAAGTGAGCTGGAAAGGCTTTTTGTAAAACTGTAATAGACATTTCTCTTCATACAGGGGTTAGTGTTTGAACTTATCACTTATCGAGTGTCAGTGTTGAGTCAGTCTGTATTTCAAGGGTTCTCTGGTTGCACTTTGCTGAGTCCTGAACGTGTGAACAGACACTCTGCTGAATGTGTTCTTGGCCATCGCTGTGGATAACCTCGCCAACGCACAAGAACTCACCAAGGTAATACAAAGTGCTCTGATCCTTTTAGTAAACCCACTCTGCCGTGTCCAGCCCTGGCTCTCGTCTCCATGATGATTCTGTTTCATTATTTAAACTCACAGATGTTCACTCACTTGTCGTAGCAACTTAAAATCAGCTGCTGTCTAGAGAAAATCACGAGTTAGGCAAAGAAACACAATATCTAAATAAAGTCTTTAAAGATCTTTTTTTAAAACACCTGAAAGGATTACTACTTAGTTAAACATTTAATTTCTCTTTATTAAACTTTAATACCATTTACAATGAAATGACTGCACATATTTTATTCCATTCAATTTCAATGTAAATTCTACTTTTATGTTTGCACCACGACACCAAGTCAAATCCCTTGTACGTGTCAACCTACCTGGTGATAAACCTGATTCTGATTCTAAAGTGACGGGACGGGAAGTAATGAAGTGTAACGGTACGTCCACTCGGTTCCGTCGCGTGCTTCAACGCAGACGCTTCCCATTCACTTTGAATGGGGTGACGTCTCGCTTTGCCGAACTGCATTGTGGTTCCGTTGCTCGCTTCCAAAGTTGAGAAAAGTTCAACCTTTCAAGCGTCGACGGAAGCGCCAGCCAATCAAATCATAAGCCAGTACAAGCGCTAGCCAATCAAACCGCGTGATTGGTTGTGATTGGTTGTTAGTCGTGCGCCAGACACGCCCACCGGCAAGCTTCAACGCGACGGAACCGTGTGGACGTACCGTAAGAGTACAAAAAGAGACACAAACCACCTGTTTAACAAAGTCCATCTAGGATGAATAAAATCAAATAGTCCCACTTAGGGTTTGATCAGTACCAGTATTCATCGATACTCTTTATTGATACTACTCTCCATAATTTAAAATGTGCACCACAACACCAAATGAAATTCCTCGTGCGCGCCGACCTACCTGTTAATAAACCTGATTCTGATAATTGCCATAACACACTTTTGTCCTCTTTTTGATCAGGATGAAGAGGAGGCGGAGGCGGCGTTTAATCAGAAACACGCTCTGCAGAAAGCGAAGGAAGTCGGGCCGCTGTCCTCCTTCATGTCCTCAGAGTAAGTCCTTCTTTTATCTCCTTTTCTCCCTGCCTTACCTCCTCCGTCCTTCTGTGGTTCC